CAACCTTTGTTCCTTTCAACAGTGTGGATGAATCAGAAAAGGCAAAGAGATGCCAGAAAAGAATCAAGTGAGTCAAGGATGTACTTATAATATTCTTGTATGGGAGACGTTCCTGAAGACTGATGCTTGGATATAGCGAATATGAGCAGGGTGTCATTAGCAATACTTTTATCTTCAGCTTTAATTAAAAGGTAATATCTCATTTAAAAATTTCACTTATATTAATGCTTCCTCAATCATGTTCAGAGAGGTATGGAATACAGTATATGATTGCCAAACATTTTTATGTTTGTCCCAGGCAGCCCAAAACATGCCTCTATCCTTCTCTCCCCTTTTTTGCTTTTAGGACTTCTGGCTCAACTGAAACAGAAGGCAAAATGGTTTTTTCAGAGGCACTTCTGGGTCTTGTTTGAACACCTTTTTCATTCTTACGGATCTGAAACTCTAACACAGGTCTGGATCATGCTTTAGATCTTGATGCTTAGGAGTGCGTGTCTAAATCCTCTAATAAACTGAAGTACTGAGACTGCATATGCCATATAGCTAAAAAATGCAAATGATCAAGTAGTAATCGAATACAGGTATAGTAGATGGTGTCTAGCTTCTTTCTTGGATATAACAAACATGTATATATTCCTATTTAGATACGTTCAAATACAGGTGAGATATTCTTATTACTGTCATGTAATATCTTTGCTGTGAGAGTTGCACTGGCTATCAGTCTGTTTCTGAATGCCATTCATGATGCTGGCAGTTACCTATAAAACCCAATATGGTTCAGGGTCTGGGTATCTACAAGACTGCCTGTCCAAACAGATTCTGCCCATCTGATCCAAGTAAACAGAAAATACTTGTTGAAGTTACCCATTTCTATGTATTTATTTTTGCATTGGCTTGTTGCTGTTTGCATACTGCTTAGAGTAAGAAAAAGGTGGTTGAAGCATTTTAGAAAGGAATAAAATTAATGGAGCATAAATAAAGACGTTCATTCATGAACCATGTGAAACTAAAACCAGGCTCGAGAATGTCTTGTGTAGAAGACGTGATTTCTCTTAATATGTAGTGAGGAAGAAAGAAAGCATGAGAACTCTCTGTAAATGACAATCAATAAATTTGAGTGGGGAGCAACAGTGCTATCCTCTGATGGCTTCAAAAGTTTCATTTCTAGGAAACCAACGGAGACATAGCCTACACTTTCCCACCCTTCTTTGTATCATGGGTACCCTGGTCCACAGATTCTCAAAGCAGAAAAGGGCACAGCATGCTATAACAGACTTTGTTTGCTTGATGGTGGCTTGTTTAAAGGTCATTCTGGGCAAAAACATACTTCACCCTTTGCAGCAAACCACCCTCTGATATTGAAACATGGCATGATGTGACAGTCTCTAGTTTTTGGCACAGTGCAATAATCCCCCTGAAACATCTGGTTGGTTGACTGCAGGCTGAGGAGCCTGAATAAAGAGAATTCAGCTTTTGTTTTTGAAAAAAATCTCTCCTTTCAATAGGGTCATTTTAATACATTGGCATAACTGGGAAAATCAGCTTGTGTCGAGGCTCATTAGGAAGAGGGGTGGGGTTTGTTCATTGATTTTATAGTGTAAGCTCTAGGGGAGACCACAGGGTATGGTAAAAAAAAATCAAGAGGGTGGCCACAATGGTCAGTACACATAAAAATGAGTAGAGCTTCCATTGCACTATTGTAGTCACATTTGTGACTTTTTTGACCACACCCGCACATACTCAGGTCAGCCTGTGGCAGTTATTTACCATGGTGAGTTCAGCTGTTAGATTATTTTACAATTTGCTGGCAAGGAGACAGACTATTTTGCTTGACTGAGCAAAGCAGTAGTTAGTCTCCTCTGACTGTCTGGCCTTCACTTATCACCCACTTTCTATAAGCAGGATAGTGGGAAGAAGGAGCAGCAGTGAGAACCTGCTTAAGACACACCACAGGAAGTCCCAGTGCCCTCTCTCAAACCACCTTCTCTACAAGGAACTCTGAAGATGCTCTGAAACCCAAGATCTTATGTAAGCAGGATTTACATAACCAACTAGTTAGGCTGACTGCACTGAATTATTTGTAATTCTGTATGTGTGATTGCTGCCTTTCCTTGTTTCTCCTGTTTTTTTCCTTTTTCCAATAAACTCCTTTTTACATCTACATGCTGACTTCGTTTTATAAGGAGTTTTCTCATTAAACCTTCCCCACATGCAACATTATACAGCAACCTTTTTTTTAGGATTGTTAAGTGTTGAACTTTGGGTTAGAGGAATATATGTTTTATCTATGTCTTAAATGGATGCTCTACCTTTCTTCCAGAAGTTTGAGGTGGCATACAGACTACTTCCTTTTCCATTTTTTTTCACAACAGCAATTTTTCTTATACAGCATCTCCTCACACATGGCTCACATTTAATCAAGGGAGTGGTCAGACACAGAAGAGAGAAGGAACTTTCCCTTTTCTTCGCTCCCCACCCCCCATCATAATAGCAGGAATTATGGGAAGACTCAAGCAAACGAAAAAAAAAAAGAAACCCCACACTTCTTGAACATATAGAAGTGATGGGAATTCATCTCAGTCCAAGTGACCAAGAACAGGAAGGTCAAAAGAGAAAGAAAGGAGCTGCTGGTTCTCCAATTCACATCATTGTGTTTTGTTCCTTCTCCACAATGGCGTGAGAAGGGCTGGAGTATCAGTCCTCCTTTTGAATTTCCTGCAGTTGTTTTGGTGCTCTGCATTTGTATTTTACACACATGCACACACCCACACCAGATTTCATTGGGAAATAGGCATAAAAGGGTCTGTTTGTACCAGAAGTGTGTGCCAGACTTCCTGGCTGGCTTCCACCGCTCAGTACTGGGGCTGGGGACAACAGCAGAGGCGCTCCCGTTATTGAGATGCAAAGGGGAGTCTGTCTGCCCGCCCTCTTTCTGTGTCAGGAGGCCTTGTCCTAATTGCCAGAGAGGCTATTCCCATGAACTGCTGCATATTCATTACTTGTCTGGAAGAACAGTTGTTTTAAAGGAGGAAAACCCAGCATGGAATGGGTAAACCTCTCTCACGTGTGTACTGAAAGCACTCTTCATAATGGGGCTTCAACTAAGCTCAGTGCAGCAGCACATAAAAGCAATTGTTCCCTCTGGACTATCAGCTCTACTCCAAATTCTGTTTATATTTGCATCCTCTCACTGCATGGATTTCAAGTTTTTTTTCTCCACTATTAGGCACTCTAAACACAGTCTGGGAGGTGTCCGTATGTGTGTGTGTGTGTGTGTATGGGTACAAATCACATAACATGACATCTGAGCAGCAGCTTGCTCCACAGAGCTATATCATGCAGGCCAGTTTTAAAGTAGCCTCCACCGAGCATCTATTCATTACCATAAGACATGGTAATGGCCACTAATTAGGGTGGCTTTAGAATGAGATTGGAAAAATTCATGGAGGACAGCTCTATCCAAGGCTATTGGCCTTGAAGACTCTATTACTTCTGGGATGAGGGAAGGTGCCTCCAAGTACTTGTTGCAGAGAGTATGTGGAAGAGAGGTACATTTCCATCTCTTATTGTGTATAGCGCAGAGGTGTCTGGTCAGCCATTGTGAAGCACCAAATGCTGGACTAAGATGGATTTCAGCCTGACCCAACAAGGTGCTTTTACTTTTTGTGCCTAAAGCCAGAGTTGCAGAACCATTCCCACTAGCAAAGGCTAGAAGTATGGCAGATAGAGTTCAACAGATACCTGGAGGGCATGAAGTAGGCTCACTTGGGTTAGTGTGCCATGAAACAGAACACCTATGCCAATAATGTGGGCTGAAAGGCTGTCTAGCCCCACCTTATCCATTGAGGGCTATGCTCAACTGGGGACTTGAATTTTAATCTTTCCAATTTTAGCTCGACATCTTAACCACCATACCATACCGTGCTAAAATTTGTACCCTAGTTCCTTATGATGCAGTCTGTAAAGAACTAAAATGTGGTGCCGTTCAGTCTGCTGGATAAAACTAAATCTCTGAAACACTTGAGCCATTGATTGCCAACACTAGGAAGCTGTTTCCTACTTCCTTTGCTTTAAGCACATTATGGTCCTGCTGTCGTCTCATTTTTGGATACAAAGGAATGTGCATCATGTTTGAATACCACAGACCATATCTAGTTCTGAGCCAGTTTGGTGTAGTGGTTAAGGCACCAGGATAGAAACTGGGAGACTATGAGTTCTAGTCCCACCTTTGGCACGAAGCCAGTTGGATGACCTGGGGCCAGTCACTCTCTCTCAGCCCTAGGAAGCAGGCAATGGGAAACCACTTCTGAAAAACCTTGGCAAGAAAACTGCAGGGACTTGCCCAGGCAGTTGCTGGGAGTCAGCACTGACTTGAAGGCACCAAAAAAACAAAACAAAACAAAAAACAAAAACCTAGCTTTGGGTCTATTCAAAGCCACAACCTATCTACCTTTTGGTGTGGATGGATACACAGTTTCCCATTATTCTCCATGCATTATCTGCTATCTAACAGTATATTTATGGAATTCTTCCTGAATATGTTTCCATATTAAAAGGATTATGGCTCAGTTGGAACCTTCGTGAAAAATGCATGCAGTTGCATTGCACATGGTACTATACAGATGACTCTCAGGCATTAAATACAGTAATCCTCAATTTTTAGAAAGCAAGAACTGATTTTACAGAAGTAGAGGCAAGAGTTCCTGAATGTAGGGATGCATTAATAGTATGAAAACAGCAACTGTTCTAATGGAGAAGACAATTTCTGCCTCCAAATTGAAATTCAACGTATCTAGAAAGTACTATGATGGGAAAAACTGATGTTACATTATGGAGCTTAGAAACCCCCCCCAAAAAGTATCAACCAGAACAGCATCACCACACATTCTGATGTTATAATTCATAGCCAGGCATCTTATGTGTTCAGTTTATATCTGCACCAACATTATCCATGTTTCTCTTCTTCAACATAACAAAAATGAAACAAAAATGCTCCACAATTTACTATTTGTAAATAACCATTTAATTTAAATATTTCTCAGGAGTAGCAAAATGGCTGCCCTCCCCCTATTTCATAGCAGCCTTTTGCTGACAAAACACAACCTGGCACACAGGATGAACAACCAGGATGGGGAATGACAACCCACCCACCCACCATGTTCCTCCATCCTTTGCTGGCATTGCCAGATAAAGATCTGGCTACGCTCCAGCTTCTTCCTGCACACGTATATGCATGGTCTGCATTGCTGAAGACATACCGGGGAATTCAGTGCAAAAGAAAATTCTGCCAAGAGAGGAAATATTGACCCTGATTGACAACACACTCAGTACTAAATAAAACCATTAATGACTGTTTAGAAGTAGGCTCCCCTTGGGAATGCTTGCAGGTAAAAACATTTCTATTCACCCAAGACATTTTAAAATAGAGACTATTGAGATGACTGACAGTCATAAAACTTGGATTCTGTTTTGTCTCTGCTTTGGGGTTACCTTTTTTCAAAACCATTCTGCATCTTTTGCCAAATAATCATGTGGCTGAATCTCAAGAATGCCCCAGAGCTCTTCCCTTTGAGTTCTTTTGGGCAGGAACCACTTTCTTGAAAAGTCAAGTTGCAGTTGGGTTGTACAATTGTTTCTTTAGGTTCAAGTTGGCATGGGAAAAAGGAGAACCACAGGAAGAGACAGTCACAAAATCACACAATGCAGTTTGTGGGAACCAGTTGCTCTGTCTCCTCGCCACTTCATCTTTTTCTTCTTCTGGCTCTTTTCTGGGAGTTGTTGCCTGTTTGGGAACACAGAAGAAATATCAGTACTGCTTTTAAGACTGAAGGAGCTAGAACTACATATTAAGATGTCCTGGGCACAGGACTGACACAAGAGTTGTGGCGGTGGGTGATTCGCATCACAAAAGTGGTGAGTGAGTCAAATTAAGCACTCTCCCTCCCTCCTTGAAGCAGTCTTTTTCCTCCTGCAAGAAACGTTTAATTACATCATGCTTGTCTGCTGATTTAGACTGATTTTGCATGCTAAGCCAAAATGTGCTTTGTCTGCTTTTGCCTTAACATGGTTTGTAAATGAATGTTTACAGGGCAGCAGGATGTGTGAACCCTCCAACTGTGGCTTATTCAACAAACCATACTTAAAATATACAGCAGTGGGTACAATAAGTGGCTCAATGCCTTGTAAATACTGCCAAGGCTTAAATATGATGCCTCTTTTTAATGATGCTAAATAATTCCACTAAGCTAAAAATATAGACATTAGCAACACCGAGAATTGCCATCTACAGAGCCAGACCATTGGTCTGTTGGGCTTTTTGTGTTCCTGAACTTGCTTCTCTTCCCGTAGACTTTTCATTACCAGGCTAGTAATGAAATATCTGCAGGAAGAGAAGCAAGCTGAGGAATAGAAAAAACTCCAACAACTCAACCCTGAACTACATATATTCTCCGCTATGGAGCCCATCGGTCTATCTAGTGTTGACCCAGCAGGCAAAGCACAAGCTCTACCCTTAAGATTTCTGTCTTTAGCACTGGAAAGCCTTTGAAGTTAAATGAAGTTTTATTCTGAACAGCTTGTACATGAGTGATTTATTTATTATTATTTATTTATTTATTTATAGGATTTAGGTGCCACCTGACTCCAAAATGAGACTGGGCAGCTTACAAAATCAGACGGAAAACAGAATAAAAACACAGTATCACGCAAATAAGTAGATGGCATCCTTGAGTCTTGCAGGGGGAACAGATAACTGAACAGAGTAACTGATAACAGAGAACCCAGCTGGACTGAGGACCTTACTGTTGTTACATTAGCTGACTATCTGGATTTCAAAGTTAAAGCAGTAATTGTGGCAGCCTTTACATGCAGAAAACTAAAAGAAGCTGTGAGGGAAAATTATGAGCCCCAAAGAGTTGGAGATGAAAGACTGAATGAATACCACCCGTGCAAAGAGGGGCTGTATTCACAAATCAAGCTAAGTCAAAGTTATCATGGTTTGATTAGCAATTCCTGTTTTTCCCTTAGTACTTTTTTTTGCTGCTTTTACGTTATGCTTCATGTTCAGTCACAGTTGGAGTCAGCAAGCCAATAAAGATCCATAATTCCACATTGTGGTTCCCTGTCTTAAAATAAACCATGGTGTTTTCACTGACCCAGTGTGCATATCATACGAAGATAAAAGTAAACATGGCTTAGTGCAGTGTGAATCTCATCACTTTACTTAGTCTCACCGTGACTGAATGTCAGATCTAGATTGATCCTGAGTTTCTGTATGAATTCTAAAGTCTAAAACATAATTTAAGCAAAAACTGTGGAAGAACAAAAGAAAATTTTGATATGAATATACCAAAGGAAAATTAAATACAGACAAGGAGCTCATGCCATTTTCAGGTTATTCAAAATCAGTATGGATAGAGAGATTACTTATTTCTGCAGTTTGGAAATAGTGGCTGCTGCAAAAACGAAGATATTTAATTTTTACAGATAAATGGGTAGCCAGGCAGTGTATATATCTAACTATCTAAACACATCTAACATTTTAACATATAAAGATATATTTTGAACCCTCTGCTCCATTTTAACAGAAAGGCATCCAGCCTCAACTCCAGCAGCAATTTGTTCTATAATGTAAGCCCCATCATGGAAAAACTGAACTGCTCGTGAATGTATTTATCCTTAGCATGATCAGCCAAAGATAACCCATTGAAGACTTGAGAGCCCACAAGGGAATATAGGGAGCTATTAGAAATTTAATTTCAACTGAGCTCAACAAAATCTACTCCCAAGTAAATTTGTATACAATTTCAGCTGATATGATTTATAATGACTGAGCTGATAATTCATTTAGTGCAGCAGCAGTCAGCACACTTTCAAGTCTGGATATCATCTGTTAAATCTCCTAATATTTCATGAGAACTCAGATTGAGATCACCAAATTCCATGCAAGAATGCATAGTCTTGTAAAATCTTTACAAGATTAATGTGATTGTGAAACATCTCTTGTGACTTTTGCCTCCTTACCCAAGATAGTTAAAACTGCATTGAGATTTCAGTGCTTTTTAATTCATCTTGGATGTATGTGGGACTATTTTTAGCTTTGAAAGACACCATGTTGTCAATACTAATCTAAAGAACCTATATCAGCCTTTTCCAACTTTCCCAGGATTCTGGAAATTGTAGTCCAACCCATCTGAAGGGTACCAAGTTGGAGAAGTCTTGATGAAACCAAGTTTGGTTCATATGATGTACTTTAGAGTTTCATTCCCAACTTGATTACCAAGAACTTCAAACCAAAGAAACTATAGTCAAGTTGTCCTTCTGTTCTCATCCCCCCACCAACTCCCCATTGAGTCTCTGCCATTGTCAATGGGCAAGACCTGGTTCAAATTGGTGAATATAAGCAAGAAAGTGCCCAAAAGCTGTTTATGGGGCATGTAAGAACTTCACTGTATAAAATTTTCTTGAAAGAAAAAAAAAACTGTACAATGATACAATGCAACTACACCGTTGATTTTGTAACCACAATTAAGTGTCAGGCTAAACTAAGCAGCATTTATTAAGGTTTCTTGACCTCTTAATCCCTCTTCCCTTGCATTCCTTCGCTGCCAGCCAGGAACAGCCGGAAGAATCTGCAATGACTGAAAAGCTTGTACCCTGCAGAAATCAAGTCTACACTGTCTATTTTGTGTAGCTAATGCTGGCAGTCAGAAAGCCTCTATTCTAGGAAAGCTTCCTGAGAACACAACTGCAAGGCAAGGGTGTGTAATTTTCCTGGCTTGAACAATCGGCATGGTTGTTTTTTAATTTTTTTAAAAAAAATAAGAATGTATACATGCAAAGCATCTGGTACCAGATGTCCCATTACAGCTAAGGGCCTTTGATTAATGAACTTTGGAAAGTAGCATAGTGATCCTTTGGGGACAGGTGGCTAGTCTTTTGTATATATGATGAGAGCAATGGGTAAGGGCAAGAGAGCTAGGACATCCTGCCCCCTCAGTACTTCAGGGTGGAGGTTGCTGCAAAACAGCTTAGCACAATGAAGGGTTATGTTTGCCAGAAAATACATGATCTTTGCTCAGAGGAATGGCTGCAAGATCCAGCAAATGAGATTGTTAGCTGTCATGATGAGAGAGGCAATTTTGTCTTTACTGCTAAAGTCAGCAAGGAACAGGTTTTAAGAGTTCTCTGGGGGAAGTGCTTACATTCACCTCTCCATTTTAGTTTTCCAGCCAGACTCACCTCATAATCTGGCTAGGCTTTCTGTGGTTGTTTTGCTTGCTTCTCAGAATGTTTGCTTGCTTCTCAGAGCTTCTGATCGCTTCTTAGAATTTTAAAATGTTTTGAAAACAAACAGAGGTTCTCCTAGGCTTGGTTTACAAACCACATTAATCTGTAATACCATTTCTTTTTTGGGAGGTGGGGGTGGGCTTAATGTGATCAGGAACTCATTATGGATTAACTTGAATTTCTCATACCCACTCTAGGTTAGGGTAACAAAGGAATTCTTATTCTACAAGCCATGGCTTCAAAATCCTGGCTTAGCATTATGTGTGCATTAAGCCTTAAAACAGTGGTAGGTCAACCAGTGCCCCTGGTTACATTTTCCTTTTTTTATACACACAAAAGGCGACAAATTTTATTTGATTTTGAATGGAACAGCTTCTTTTAATGTCTGGAAGGGCACCAAACCTGCAGAGTTGTCCATTGATTCAACCTATTCAGAGATGGATAAACATGTTTGGAAGACAAAAGAAGAAGAGCGCTCTAATTAATGTCTAATTCTTTATGAATGGGAATCTTTCAGCCCTCTTAAAGTATTAAGATTTTGAAATTAAAAAAAAAACTTCTAATTGTTATAGCATATGCCTACTACATTTTGATGTCATTCTTTGAAAGTTTTATTTGTTCAAGATAAATATGGATTGAAAATAACAGTCATTACAAATATCCTACGGATAGTCACTGGTAAGCCAAAAATGCACAAACGAACGAACGAACAAATGAATAAATAATGAACGTCTATGGCTGAGGCGGAAAAGGAATGCTTAGTGAATGATGAATGAACTATTCTTTCTAAAGTAAGTTTGATTCATGATATGACCATAAGCCAAATCACTATCGGGCTGATTTAATAATGGGATAGCTCACCTGATTACTCGAACAAGATCGTGGAAGGCTTTGTCAACGTTCAGTGGAGGATCCTTAGCACTAGTTTCTATATACGGAATCTGGAAAACAAAGGCTCAGTAATTTTTACACATATATTACAGGGAAAGCGAGTGCACATTCAGTATATAGGAAATATGGGAAAGCACATATTTGGGAATGCCATTAAAATGGAAAGAGAAGATGGTTTTGTATACTAAGTTAGTGCGTTATATTTTTTTCTCCCCTAGGCCTGAATTCCTGGGACTTCAGAAAAACAAAACTATTCAGAGACCTTTACACCGATGTAGGAAAGTTAGAAAGAAACTTTCTAGTTTCTTTAGAAATTAAGAAAGAAGTATGGACAATTTGTCAAAAGTTTCTTTTAAAGTCTTGTATATGCTCTTATGTAGCAGAAGTTGTTTTTTAGTGGCACAGTTGCATTGTAACCTTTCATAGTGACCTTACTTTCATGGCTCTCCCCCAAAAATTACAGTATGAGAATAGTTGTTGGGTGAAAGCAGTCCATATCTACTCACCACCTTTATACACACAGAATTATTGTTCCTAGCATTCCTTTAAGAAATGGGTATAACATCAGCTTGATTAGGCATGTGTGTGCGCGTGCACGCGCATACGTATATGTGCGAGGGTTCTTTTCTTTCCAAGGACTGGACATACCACAGCATAGCAAATCTGTACACAATGCTTTACTGCAGCCCACACCTTCCCCAACAATAGACTATTGCTCTCCACCCTTCTAGGACTTGCAAGGTGATGTTGCCATGTAAATATGCCTTCAATACTCAGTCCTGTAATACTTCATACTTAGTGCAAGCAAAATTCTATTAGTCTGTCGAGTGGCATACAACCTTTGCCTCCTTGCAAAAGTTCTTACGCTGGTTGGGATGAGGCGCTGCCTCAGTGTGGTTGTTCTTCCAGTTGCTACTGAGCTCCTGGCAAAGCTCCAGGCAGGACTCCCACCAGAATATGCAGCCCGCCATAACTTGTCCCGGTGGCTGAATGATCGATCGTCCTCTTGCCTGCCAACCTCCAGACGTCGCCTCCGCTTCCCCGTCTGCATGCTGTTTGCTTATCACCTTTCCTCCTGCACGCATCTCCCTGCTCTGTCTTAGCATTTGCTTTTGTAAGCTAAGAGCCTGGGTGGGGTGAGGCTGCCTCTGGAAGTCGGCAGGTTCTTGAAAATGCCAGGGTGTGGTTCAATTATCACAGGCAGCTGGAATGCGGCTTGGATGCTTGTGAGTAAAGTTGTGAGTTCGTGAAAGAATGTGTGAGGGAAATGGAGTGAGAAGCGTTTCTACTCGGCTGCAGCTACTTTTCCCAAGCACAGACAGCAATCCCTCACAGAACTTCACTCCCTCACAGTACATGTGTGTGTGTGTATGTGTATGTATATGTAGTCCTTGTTTAACAACCGTTCGTTTAGTGGCCATTTGAAATTATGACACTGCTAAAAAACTGACTTTTGACTGATGCCCAAAGTTACGACCGTTGTAGTGCCCCTGCAATCACATAATCACGATCCGGGTGCTTGGCAACCAGCTCACACTTACGATGGTTGAAGCATCCCAGGGTCACATGATTGCCATTTGCAACCTTCCCAGCCAGCTTCTGGCAAGCAAAATCAGTGGGGAACCACGTGATTCACTTAAAGACCACATGATTCACTTAATGATCAGTGTGAAAACGGTCATAAAATTGGGTCCGGTCACGTGATGATTTGCTTAACACCCACATCACTTAGCAACCTAAATTCTGGTCCCAATTGTCGTTGTTAAGCAAGGACCGCCTGTGTGTGTGCGTGTATACACACATGGACGCACACACATCTGTCTGTCTGTCTATCTACGAGTTGGAGTAAAGTCCTTCTACTTCTATTTCTACTTCAAATGACTGAAAAAATGATCAAATGGTATACCCCAAAAACAGGGGAGGGGGATTTACCAAAAAGGTCAGTAGGAAAAGTAGGTAGCTCAGGGAAAGAAAACAGTTATTAAAAACATGTTTTTACTGGGATTTGAACTATAAACATTCTACATATAAATTCCGCATGTCAAACCAGTGTAATAACAACTCAGCAACTGAGAAAGACTTTCCTGAGGAAAAACTGGGAAAATGCAAAACAGGATTTGTTATGTTAAACCTGTGCTTCCATATGTACGTGCTTTTTTATGCTTTAACCTTGGATGTGTGTGTATATTTAATTTTGTAAGCATATATTTGCGTGTGGGTGAGCTTACACACAGAAACGCAGAAAAGTGTGTATTTCTAGTAAAGCAGAGCAACAGGCCATTACTTTCCCGGAACAGAAAAGTGGGAAGGGCCAGTCGCAGTAGAATTGTCCAATGGGGGCCCCTGATAGCCTCCAGCCCAGACTGAATTTCTTGCAAGCTGCTGCCAAAGTGTCAGCACAGGCAGGTTTTTCTGAAACGGGCTTACAGTTAAGCCTGTATCAACACAAAAAGGTAACAGTTTAAGGGTGTAGTGTGCATATGCTCTCAGTCATCTTTTTCCAAGCTAAAAAGCTTCATTTTAACATGATTCTTTCCCTTGGCCATTTATAAGTGTATTTTTATGTACTGTATCCAGTTCTGCTCCTTTTCTTTTCATTGGTGGAAGGGATGAAGAAGGGACAGGCATAACTATATATGGTATTCTAAGTGTGGTTTTATGACCCTGCATACTGGCACTAAGATAGCAAATGCTAAGAGACGGTACTGCTAAAATGGAGCCATTCTGTCTGATTGAAACTTCACTTACCTTCCCCTCCCCCCAAATGTTCTTTAGAGCCTAATAAATCTCGGCCTTTCTCCACAATATCAATGCACTGAGAACTTGCAGCGTTGTCAGGCTAGTTTCAAATGTGAGTAGGAGGCATTTCAATCTACCAGCATCTAGATAGTAGTTTCACGTTTGCTTTTTAACTAATGAACTCAGTATAAAAATGTCTGAGGAGTCTTCATCTCCGCTTCTTGAACCAGTATCTCTGAGTGCTGCTATGCTTTTGTAATACTTTTGACATACTCAAAGTGTCATTTAAACAACATGTACATCAAGACCATTTTTTAAAACAAATATTTTCAGATTAATATGAAAAATGAACTGGATTGTGGGTAAGAACAATGCGCCAGCGATTCTAGACCAGCCATAGCGTTTAGCATCATCGTGTGATCCCAGGGAGCATAGGACTGACTGATGGATGAAAACAGCAGAGTTAGGACTTTGATATTAGAGGGGAGAATCCAGCATCAGATCCTACTCCTTCTCCCTCTCTGCAAGTCTCTGGCTCTATTTTTTATGGGGTTAACAGATATGACATCAGACAGTCCTCCTACAGAGTGTACCATGGAGCTGAGGATTTTCTGGATCCTAAACCCGTCTCAGCTAAAGGGCATACTGGGAGAGGTTGAGGGAGCTTAGGACCTCAGCAACTCCTACCCCAGATTTACTCCATGGCAAGCAATCTCTGAAGAATTTTTGTTTGCATTGGAAGGAAAACGTGTTTACATTTTTGAAAAGGAAAGAGATTCTGTCTTATTCTGCCTGCCTTAATTTTGCCACCATCAAATTGCTCATCCCAAATCCACTTCATAATTTGTTTTCTAATTCCACTGATGACATCCCTCAGGATTTTAGCTGAATGCTGTCTAACCAGAGTGACAGTTGCTCAATTAAGCCATTCTGTCAACAGCTTTATTCTAAATGGATATGCTGGGGACCAATTGAACCGGGGACCACATCAGGAGTGTCCGCAGGGTATTGTGAAAAAAGTCAAGATGGCAGCTGTGACAGTGTGATTTAAGCCTTGCCCATGTCGTGGCTGCCATCTTGCCTTTTTTCACAATACCCTGCGGACACCCCTGGGCCACTTCCAAGCCACAGCAGCAGAGCTGCGTGGGAAGAAACCAAGAGGACATACACTGTGCTTTGCTGCCATTTCTTTCCCTTGCTCCTGGGTGATTTTTCTCAAGTGCATTAGATCAACTTTGTTGGCCACCAAAATCATTGGAAAAGATTCTCTGAAAGACAAAAAGAATAAGAGGAAATGTCAGTACACTATATCTTTGTTGTGGGCACAGTAAGGTCAATTCTAGTTCTTCCATAAAATAATAATGGATGTTTGTTCAAATCATATCACACAGTGCAATAGGTAATGTAGTTCAACAAAATTTTGCATGGCTTTATGTGACAAACAAATAAATAAAATAAAATTTGCATGCAAAACACCCCTTAGTCAAACTGTGTATCTCAATGAATGTCTGAGTGAACAGAAGCTGGCATAAGCTCTAAATGTTAGAAAGTTAAAAACTGTGGAAAGATATCATGTTTGACTTCGTACTATGTGGAGCTTGTGTCAGCTTTTCTTCAGTTTTAGGGATTCACTGAAACATACAATTTTAGCAAAATGCTAAAATTTTGCATGCAACTGTAAATATCAGGCATCAATGCAATTCAAATGGTTAAAAAGTGATTTGGAGTTAAGAGTAAGCAATGAGATACCTCAATCTGTAGATGGCACCAAGTTGTTCAGCCTGGTATAATTATTAGGGGACTGAAGTACTTAGTTTTTGATTTTACAAACAAAAGGAGGACTGAAGCTCAGTAAGCAGATAAAAAGTGATTTATATTAAGAAAAACAATCCAACTTCAAACATACATTGATAGGAAATGAATTGATGGTTACTAACTAAATCAGTTACCTTGGGGATGTGGTGGGTGATTCAGTGACAAAAACTGTGTAGTGATGGCTTAAACGGATCATTTCATGCTAGGTGTTTTTAGGAAAATAGTTATGAGAAACAACCAATGTTGTAAGGCTTTTGCATGATTTTGTGGTCAACAGTATTAAAAGTACTTTCTACAGTTCTGTTAACTCCATTTCCAATGGAGTTTGTAGTGCTGGAAATGTACACATAAAGGCAATTCAAGATAGATATTCAGAAAGCCTATCCTGTATAAAAGAGAGGCAGCCTCCAGCTCACAGACCTAATAGAGATTGTTGGGGATTGTTAGGCTGCACAATTCCTAGGATATCCAGTCAGGTTTCTGCCAGTTCCCTAAAGCTCATCCCTCTTCCCAAGACCTCACATTTCACCTGAGTCTTGCAGAATTGCAGATGAAGTCCTCCATGCAGGTAAGATGCGGTGGAGAAAGCATGTGATAGTGGAAGGAGGTTCTGTCCAGGGAACGTACTTAATTTCTCAAAGCTTTCCTGACTACAGGTAGTCCTCACTTAATGACCACTTGTTTAGTGTCCGTTCGAAGTTATGACAGTGCTGAACAAGGAGACTTATGATTGGTCCTTATAGTTGTGGCCATCACAATGTCCCTGTGGTCATGTGATTGCAATTTGGGCGCTTGGCAACTGCCAATCACAGCATTCTGCGGTCACATGATCGCCATTTTCAACCTTCACTGCCAGCTTCATGAAAACAAAGACAGTGGGGAAGCTGGCAGGAGGTAGCAAACAGTGATCGTGTAACATTGCACTTAACAATCACATGGAATTCACTTAACAGCAGCAATCGGAACTGCTGCAACTGCCGCCATATGTTGGCGCAGACATGTGACATAATGCTTTATGACTGCGTCATTTAGCGACAGAATTGCTGGTCCCAATTACTGTCATTAAGCGAGGACTACCTGTAGTTTTACCTGGCCCTCTGATTAGATTTAGCTCATCAACCTGAAATATTTGAAGTTTTTGTTGCTATTTTTCTTTAATTCAAGAAGAAAAAGACAAAGGAAGACATTATTGTGATTCTAAAAAATATGAATGTTGTGAAGACACTGAGCTGAAGCATAGCTTTTGTTATCTGCTGCTTATGTGTGAAATAGTCAAGCAATATCACAAATAGGTATGGTTAAAAAAGAACAAATAGAAATTGTAATTTTAATGTTATTCATAGCACCTCTCTAGTCTTCTATAGATGACTGGCAGTTGAATTAATGGACTGATCACACTGAAAAGCTTTTCATCTGGAGATTTGAGGGCACCCACCTGTCCTTGACCCGGAGAATGAGTTGATGGAACCTATCCACGTGTTCAAAGCTGGCTTTATCTGTGACCGAATAGACTATAAGAAACCCATCTCCTGTCCTCATGTACTGCTCTCTCATTGCACTGAATTCTTCCTGGCCTGCAGTATCCAGGACTAGTGAGAGAAGGAGAGAAAAAAAAAAGAAAAAAGAAAATGATTGAAAAATCACTTGCTCCCTTAGATCACTTTCCCAAACCACATCAGATCTGTTATTTGCAAGCATGTGTCACTATGTAGGTAGTAAATATGTGAAGGAGATAGGACTTCTGCTGGCTCTGCCCCTACCATTTGCATCTGGAGGAAGGTACAGCAAAGGGGAGCCTAAACATGGTTGTAGATAGGTGTATAGGTTTCTTTTGCCTCAGCGAATGATAACCAGGTGGATTATCTTGTCTGGTCCCTAAAGCTAAGCAAGATCAGGCTCGACTAGGCTGGGGAGAATGTAACAAAGCAAACCAAAGATGAAGTGAAGTAATAATCCCATAATAAGGCAACGGCAAACCGTTTCCATGTTGCTGCCCAGTAAATGGCACAGATGGGGAACTGAAGTCAGGAGCCAGCCTCAGCTTGAAGGAGGCTTTACTTGAGATGGACTTTACTCTCCAAAGAGTGCCTTGGGAGCAGGACTCACTTTGCTGCAGGTGTTTATTATGCGTGTGTCGGAATGCATTAAATGGACTCAGTACCCTTGGATCATTAGTGTTTTCCCCCATCCCTCCTCCTCCTCCTCCTCCTCCTTCACCAGAAGAATGAGGATTTGAGATGTGAGCACATGTAATTTGGTGACTCAGACAGCAAGTAGTTTGGGCTGGGTGACTCCAGATGTGTTTGGGCTGCTTGTTCAAAAACTCCTAGCCAGCAATCTGGTCTAAAGGAGGCTGTTCTTATACTTAATCTCAGCGTGTTTTGTAGTTTACATGCGGTCAGATAAAAGCCTGCTGTGTAATAATGGTCTTTTTAGGTTTGTACTCTTCTCTGCAGAAAGAGCTTTCCTCCTGTATTATAAGTGAAATTATTTTTCATGCCTTTTCTTTACCAGATGGAGAAAGCACAACCTCATAGCCATTGTTAAGTAATTGTTTCAAGGCCATTAAGAAAAGAAAAATCTCTGAAAAAGAGGCATACTGTACTGCATACTAGTAGCAGAGATGTGGTGGTAGGAGTTACTTTTTTAAAATATTAAGTCCTCCTTTGAGGGGGTTTAAGCCTTGACGAGTGACACACGTTGCATGATATAGCCACACGATATACCCACACTTTGATGTGAGGCACTGTCAGGAACATTGACTGTTCCTGACAGTGCCTCACATCAAAGCGTGGCTATATCAGGATGATTGCTTAGAAAGGAAGAGTTCAAATCTTGTCTCATCGCTGAAATGTACAATGTGACTTATGGTTTCAAATGAATGATTCACCACTTGCAGTCTCAGGTAGGACAGACTAAGGGCAGAGTTTTTAATCCGAATGAAGGGAAAAGTTTTTTCCCACCCGAGTTTTGTCTGCAAGACTAGGACTCAGTTTTAGGACATGACAGATAAAGACAGGAATTCCTCAAAGCTTTTACAGAAAGAATTCTCCTTCCCCACTGGATATCCACAGCCAGCCTGATGAAAAACTGTGGCTTCCAAAACGGCAAGGGCACACCTCTGGTTTTGAAAGTTAATTGCTATTCTATCTTCTGCCAGTGTGTCTGTATACTGCATCTAAAACCACTGAATATCCTCTTACTGGGAACAGTGGGAAGTAGAGAAAACCAGTAGTGGCAGTGTGGCTACCACAATAAGCTGTAATTATTCTCCTCTGACATCATTCCACTATATAGCAGTGTAACCATTACAATGCTCCTGGGAATCTGATGCTACAGCTGCTTGAAGATTGCTACTGACGACAGAAGCAACAGAAGCATTCCTACGGTCAGAGCGCAGCAATTCAGCCACACAACAGCGGTGGAAAAGCAGAAGATGCAGCAGCTCCAGCACCCCTGACTATCACACGTTTTATACCACGTGCACACTCACAGATGGCAACTGTCCCTAGGAAACATCAGCCACTAAGGCAGGCACCAAAGTTACGTGACTCTTGACACTGGACCCATTCCTTTCTTTGCATCCAGAAACAACAATATCAGAAAGGTTCTTCTAGTTCTCATGTGCTTTGCTTAGCAAACAGTAGCACGTTCTAATACAGTATTGTATGATGATGATGATGATGATATCATCCCACCATTATTTTCTACAACTCAAGATTTCTGCCATCTGTTTTTACCCACAATATCCCTGTGAGTTGGGTTGAGAGAGTGGCCCATAGTTACCCAGCTGGCTTCATGCTAAGGCAGGCCTAGAACTCACAGTCTCTTGGTTTCTAACCCGGTTCTTTAGCCACCACACCAAACTGCCTCTTAATATATCTGATTATAATAAAATATATATGTTACGTAATACACCCACCCTCTCTCTCATGTTATAGATTATAATATTATATTAATATGTTATGGTATATTATATCATATCATATCACATGATTCTGGCATGACATTTGCTTGTGTAAATAAATATGCTGTAGTCTTTCCTTCACAGGAAACACACAGGGATGAGAATTTTTAGAATTCCTGAACTAGAGGCTTGCAACTTTAAAGCATGATTTGTGAAAGAAATAAAGGACTCTGTTTCGGGGGGGGGGGGGGGAAATCTGTCCTTCCACCAAAGTAAAAGTCAGGATTTAAAACAACCCCTCTGTTCTACGAGGAGAGGGAAACATTTATTTCTGGCTCAAGATCAGCATTAGCCAATCAGAAAGGCAATGGGGTAGGACTCCTATTGCTGGGACATTCTCTTGCCAAAGGCTTTTGAAGTGAGCAGCACAGCTTGTTTTAATGAAGTTTATACTATAAAACCAGAGTGGGATCCCTTGGATTTTGCTGAACGACGGTTTTCTTCATCATTGGTTATGCTCACTGTAACCCCCATGGTAGAAATTCAAATCCACTGTACCGATAGTCCTTGACTTATGACCATTCATTTAGCAACTGTTCCAAGGTATGAGGGTGCTGGAAAAGGTGCCTTACAACTGGTCCTTGCACTTATGACCGTTGCAGCATCCCTGCAGTCCAGTGATCAAAATTTGGGTGCTTGGCAATTGGCATGTATTTATAATGGTTACAGCATCCTGGGATCATGTGATTGCTATTTGCGACCTTTCCAGCCAGCTTTTAACAAGCAAAATCAGTGGGGAACCGCATGATTCACTTAATGACCACCACAAAAAATGTCATAAAATTGGGTATGGTCACATGATGTCTTGCTTAATGACTGTACTGCTTAATGATGAATTTTATGGCCCCTATTGTGGTCATAAATTGAGGACTATCTGTACTCCATATTGGTTAATGAACAGCAGGAATGAGGTAACACTGGCATTTTCTGCCCTAGGCTGAGATGCATCCCAGTCTGATCTTACTTTGACATTCTTTCTATTCCCTTTTCTTATGTTTTTTTTGAGGAAACTACTTTTCACAACCATCAGGTGATAAACTTTAAGATGTCCTGTAACATAATGGTAACATCTTAATTGGAAATAAAGCTTGCTATTTTTTTTATTATGTAAAGAAAACAATAAGCTCCTTAACTAACTATACAAGACTGAATGCTTTTCAAAATTATCTTTGACTCTTGCATCTTCTGGTCCATTCATTCCAAACTGCTTTGGCTCTTTATGCAAAAGCAGACAGCTGAAATAATATGCTTTTATTGTAAAGTAATAATGCATCTAGTAGTGGTCCAAACAAAACATTGCAAACAATGCTGATAAAGCTTATGGGAAGATTTTAAGCTAAAACCTGAAACACAGTTGCTTGCAACTGAAGAAATTGGATGTTGCTTCTGAACAAGCAAGAATATAAGCATCAGGATCTCATCTTCCTGTGGCTAGCACCAAATACCCTGCACTGAAGGAGACAATGCAGGTAGTCCTCACTTAGCAACCACTCATTCAGTGACCATTTGAAGTTATGATGGCGAGGGACTTACGACTGGTCCTCAAAGTTGCAGCTGTTGCGGCATCCCTGTGGTCATTTGATCACAATTCAGGTGCTTGGCAACCAGCTTACAAGTTGCAGCATCCTGTGGTCATGTGACCTCCATTGGTGACCTTCACTGCTGGCTTCCCACAAGCAAAGTCAATGGGGAAGCCAGCAGGAAGTCACAAGTTGCTCCTGTAAGTCAGTCCCACCACTTTTTCTCCTGAGGAGCCTCCTGGTGGCATGGGGATCTCATACTCCACCTTCGGGTCACAGCCTTCTATGTGGCAAGCTGTTCCACCACAGGGGATGCCCATTAGGCCCTGCATGCTCTCCTTGGGCAAGCTGTTCCCATAGCACCTGCTTTCAGTGCTGTCCCACACCATGCAGTTGGTGTCTGGCTCAGTGTATACTGTGCTCACCCAGGCTGTGTATCACGCCAATGACCAGAAGACCCACAGGCACCCCACCACCATCAGGAAAATCAGCGGCAGCATCACATGGCGTGACAGCTCCATAGCTTCTAGATCATGAGGCAAGCAGGCCAGCAAGCATAAGAGACGGCTGCCTGCGCCCACAATGGCAGATGAAATGCTCTTGCCCACCAGCCTGCTTTCAGCGGTGTAAGCAAGTGCTTCTGAATTTCTACCTCTTCCCAAAAGGTAGCCCACCTTGCAGGCAGACCTGCGCCTGGGCCTGTGAGAAAGAGGCAGCGACTGAGCTTTCTTCATCTTCCTCCTGAGCACCAGAAGGTTTCCAAGCATTCCAGGCCACTGAGCACAGGATGAAACTTGGGAAATATGCTTTTTCCTGATCTAACTGGACTCCATAGGCTTACATTTCGATGCAAGAAAGGGACCTGAACAAAGCAAGCCGCCTAAGAAGAAAAGCTTGTCATGACCGTGACTTGTGGTTTCCTGCCAGCTTCCCCATTGACTTTGCTTGTTGGAAGCAGGCAGTAAGTTGCAAGTTGTGCTCATGTGACATTGCGCTTAATGACTGCACACGGCTCGCTTAACGACTGCAATAGGAACTTCCAGAACTGCCCTCATAAGTTGGTGCAGTCATGTGATTTTTCATTTTACAACCAGCTCACTTAGCGATGGAGTTGCCGGTCCCAATTACGGTCATTAACTGAGGATACCTGAATACAATGCTACCTCTACTTACGAATGCCCCTACTTACGAATTTTTTGAGATACGACCAGCTCCGGCCCTAAAAATTTACCTCTACTTACGAACTCGCCTCGACTTACGAACCGGATCCGCGGCCATTTTCCTCCCCGTTCCACGTGGTCCGTGGCCATTTTCTGCCCATTCCACGTGGACCGCGGCCATTTTCTGCCCGTTCCACGTGGTCCGTGGCCATTTTCTGCCCATTCCACGTGGACCGCGGCCATTTTCCGCCCGTTCCACGTGGTCCGCGGCCATTTTTCCGCCCTGCCACGTGGTCCGCGGCCATTTTTCCGCCCTGCCGCGTGGTCTGCGGACGGCGGAATGGATTAACGGTAATTACATTGAACCTTATGAGAAAATTTACTTCGACTTGCGACCAACTCGACTTGCGATCAGAGTCACGGAACGGATTAAGTTCGTAAGTAGAGGTACCACTGTACATCTTTCATAATTGTGGTTTCATGAAGTAGCATCTAGTCTTAAGCAATTGTTTTCATTGGAATTTCAGGTGTACACCCGTAACAGCAGAGTTATAAAAATTCCTAATGGATAATGGACAAGCACTCTATACTTAAGCATCACTATTAAAAAAGGAAAAGGAAAAAAAAGGTAAAAAATGGTTGTTCTCTCCAGGGCTAATAAATCTTCCCAATTGAAAAAGCTGTTCAAGATTTTATTTATAACTCTAGTCATATTAAAGCATTTCACTTTGGTTTCAGGGCTGAAAACAATTCCATGTTGTCTTCTTTCCTATATGGCTATCTCTAATAATTTTTTAAAGATTAAAGCTTTTTTGAAATAGTATTTGATGATGCTGAAATAAAGCTAATTGGTCAAACAAGCATCACTCTTGGATTGCCGCAGTACATGCAAATCCACCAAATATATGCCTATACATTTAATCCATTAGCAATTGGACATGCTGACCCAAGGGAGAAAAAATGAAAACAGCTTATGCAGAAAAAAATGGCTGTAATTGTCAGAAAGCATCTCATCACCATTGTATATACATTTTCATAGCTTTTTACATTTTTTTTCTTTTTCAGATGGACTTATTCTTAAAAACAAAACAAATGTGAAAAAAAATTCAGAAAGTCAGCCCATGGCTCAGCTGATTTCAGAGGTGACTTCTATTTATTTAATCATTGTTACAAAAACCTTGAATGGAAAAGAAATACATTCACTTGTGATCAAGTGCCGGGGGCCGGGTTTTGAGGAAGGCCTAGGTCTGAATACCTGTTTGGCCATGATATTCATCAGATCATTTAGAAGAATTCACTCTCTCTATCTCACCAATTCCAGTTAAAAGGAAACTCCTATTTGCCATTCATCCTTGGACATTGGCTAGAACCGAAGCACTGCAAATAAAATGAACAATATTGCAAGCAAAGGAGCGTTATTCATCTCTTTGTGTCATCTTGTGTTCCCAGAGCCACTAAAGAGCATTTCTTAATATTACTGTGGGTAGGCTTGCTGTAACATCATAAGGAGAAACTTTCTGCATTGTTCTAGTTATGCTGGAAATAGTGTGATCCAAGATAATCCATCCCATTTCTCTTCCCTTTTCACTATATCCAATAATCAGTTTTGGCTGCTGAAGTTGCATAGTTGCTGGCCAGAATGAATTTTTGAAAAGTGCCAGAACCTACCTTATGCCCCATTAAGCTTATCATGTAAGGAACAGTGCAAGGTGAGTGAATAGCTGGTAGCTGAGGGGAGACAGAGGACCTGGATCCCTCTTCCAGCTCAACACAGAACGTAAGTGAACTATGAGAAGAGGAAAGGCTTCTCCTGCTGTGCTCCTGGCACAGAAGAGGTCAGAATGCACCATCCTTCCTGCACTAGCCACTGTCATACTAGTATTTGCTGGTGAATTATTTGTGGACTTACTTAAAAGGTTGCTTTGGATAAAATAAGAATGATCCAAATTGAGCTAGTTACATTCTATTAAGTTTCCTTGATCTCAAACGTATAATATATAGCAAAATGTATACTTCTAAACACTGGAGATTTTCAGGTGAAAAGCCAGACAAATCAGAAAAGGGTAGCTTACCATCTAGAATTGCCCATTGCCCATCTATCTCTGTGTGCTTCAGATAGGAATCTTCAATGGTTGGGTCATAATCTGGCACAAAGATTTTCTGGAAAAACTGAATGGTGAGGGCACTCTTCCCTACACCCCCATCTCCAACCACCACTAATTTGTAGGTGGGGAGGTTTTCACTTGGAACAGCACTTGTAGCCATAGTGTCAAATGGGCCAAACCTAGAAAAGAAACAGAACGTTTGAAACAGTGTATACTGGCAACAGCACGTTGATTGTTATTATAAGATTTATAACCCATCATCCATTCAAAGGCAAGTAAAATAAAATATCAAAGCAAGCTTAAAAAATGCATAAAGACATATTGTTTAAAAAAGAATTCAGAAATCCAAGTTAAAGTGGAGAGAACAGGGACCAAAGGATGTGAATTTCATATCTTGGGAGTAAACAGAAGAAAGTCTCTTTCTCTCCCCTAAAGCACATTACAGTGCAGCTTAGATTGCCGCAATCAGGGCATGAACAACTGTTGCATGCCCTGCTACCTGCTCAGTAATGATTATGGTTGGCAGACCAAGTTGTGAAAATGTGCTTCTTGGCCCCTCTGGAGGATCAAGTAGAATTCCCACCTACTGTTTCAGGAAGGCACAGTCCCTTCCTGAACAGACTTAACACTAAGCCTCAAAGTCCAATTTCCTTCTGATCAAAAGCATCTTGATCTTGTCTGGGTGTAATTTCATTTTGTTCATCATTTTCTAGCTAATGTATCCATGTGAAATCGAAAGAAGTAACAAGGAGCTCTCCAAAATAACAAGTCAGGCACAAAGAAGAGTAAAAAATATCTCCATCTGCTAGCTATTCTGTTACTGGGAAATTTGTTCTACTGTCTTGTTTTTATTATATTAAGAAAAATACAAAGATATGATTGATTTGGTTATGAAGAAATAAATATATGCCACTTTGCCAAGAGCTGCAGGTTTGAGTGTGGTCTTTGCACAAAATCTGCAGAGGCAGCTTTGTGCCCAAGGACCAGGATGGTGTGGCTTGGACTCCCACCACAGACACAAACAAAAATGTTTCCTTAGCTGAAGTTAAAGCTGATCATTCAAATCTAACTTTCAAAGCTTGGGTTGAAATTAATTATTGCCGCATATACAACCCTTCCTATACACAGGTAAAATCATAGGTGGTATACCAAGGTATGTTGTTTTCCCTGACACTAGGATTACTCACACCTTTAATGACAGAGAAAGTTCAGCAAGTACCTAGATTTACTCCTGGTCATTCTGAGAGAGTTTAATTTCTTCTAGAACATTTTGAGCAGAGGCATTCACCTAGACCACTCCCTAACAGTATCAGTTTCATTTGCTCTTAATTTCCTAAGAGCCCCCACTAATATTCTAGTTCCTTCTGGCTGGACTTCCAAATGCTAGCTTAATTCAAGAGGGAAGGAGGGAGGGAGGAAGTCAAAATTTGCAAGATTTTGCTTCCCATTCTGAGAAGTCAGTAATTAATCCTCACAGTTTGAAAGGGATTATGTAGTTCAGAATCAAACCATGGAAAAAAACAGGGAGAAAGAGTTATATGGAAATAAGGATACTTTTTGGAGAGAAACTCCCTGACTCAGAAGCTGTGCATGATAATGATTTACTGTAGCCATGGTAACATGTGTGACGTTCAAATGGCTTAATCCTGTTATGAAACTTTCAGGAAAAAACACAATTCATACACAACAACAGATGCTGGGTTGTCTTAGTATTTCTGTGGTAGCCCTCTTCTGTCTTCTGGTCAGCTTAAACACAATCAATAGGACCCTCATGAAGAAAAAAATTATGCAGTGCTGGGTCTGCATCCATCCCATTTATTGCTGGCTTAGTGCAATCTTAAATATGTTTCCACCAAAATATTCCCTACTAAATTTTGCAATATAGCCATCCTTGTATGGTGTTCAGGACCACAACTGAAGTTGCATGTGAGGTACTACTGATGCCAGCAATGGCTGTTATGGCCTTTCTGAGGGCCTAGATATTGGGCACATCCAGACAGCCTGTGTCAGATAGTTTACAGAAGTCTGTGAGGTAGCAAAAAGTACATCAGCCAAAATTTCCCAGTGTCTACTCTGTCATGTCCAGCAAGTGGTACATCTGCAGAATTTAGGACAAATTAAGGTGTGGAAATTAGTGAATTTCCCACTCAGCAGAAAACAACTGCTCCTCCAAACATGGGCTGGGGGAAGCAGCAAATATTGACTGATGTCTAGAATGGCAGGTTTATCCATCTGTTAGAACTTTTACAGCAACTTGTTGGTGGTTTTCCTACTGGCTGAGAAATCCACCAACTGCTGCTTCTGAACCAGCACTGGATTTAGACATGGTGAGGCCTCAAACTATGGGAAGCTGTAGAGACTCTATCTGACAAGTGCTAACAGAGAGTAAGATTGTGTAACAACTAAATTTGGCAACAATGCCACCAAGAAACCTAAGAAACCCATGATGGGACTGGGAAGGTCCCTCTTTGAAGGTATGGATGCATGTAAAAATAAAGTCTGTCATTATCTAGTAATGAGGGCCATGTGAGTATACAGGAAGGCTTAAATATGTGGAGACTTTCATGTATGAAATTATAATAAAATTATAACCAAAAAAAAAAAATCTGAAATTTTGAGAGGCCCCTTCAGATTATGAGGCCTTAAGCTGTAGCTTGTTTAGTTTATGCTGAAATCTGGCTCTGTCCTTAACTTGCCCCACAGTAAACCACTGGCACAGCACCACTCACCATGGTTCTCTTGACCAAGGTTCTAGTCTCAACAATGGCCATGCTGGCTGGAGACTTCTACAGAGCACCAAGAACTAGGGAAGACTGTATAGGCCCTGCATTTTTTCCAAATAAAAACCCAGATCTGTCCCTCAGTAGGAACACCATCTAAAAATCCTAGGGTAAACCTGGCAGCTGACATGAGGACCCTTCTGTAAGTGTTTCTGTAAGCAACGAGAAGCCTTTCAAAAAGCCTTTATATAATTCTGAGTCTCATTTGATGCTCACCAGGTATTTTTACTTCAAGGGAGGGTGTCAAAACTACAAACCTGCTCTTCTCAATCTCTGCTGAATGAGAAGCAATATGTTTCATATTGTACTCATAGCACTTGCATTGCACAAAAAGGCAGCCAAAGGCATTTCGTCTTGATGAACACTGAGCTGTTATGTCAGGAGTCACAAAATTATAACCTCAGCAAATAAAACTCACATCACTGTCAATTACTTGGGTAGGCAGAATTAGAAAGTTGCTGGGCTGCAATCTTTCAGCAATCCTGCAACTAAAGGGATGAGCAGAGAGCATGTCTTTCTCCTCCTGCTCATGATCTCAAGTTCATTGGAAAGATTAACACCATCAGTAGATTTCAGGACCCATAGTGAGAAGAACCATATGATTGACCCTTGGGAAGGGAACAACTACAGAAACAAGAGCAAAAAGAAAAAATATCCTCTAAGGCTCAAATATCTTTATACTGCTAGCTGGTTATGCTTAAACTCTGCCTTTACCTTCAGCTCCACTGATATTTAAATGCAATGCTGCAGTGGAGGGCAACAGGTTTAATACTTTTCTCCCTGATGCATGTTGTAATGGAAGTGACTAGTGCAAAAGATTAATCGCATAACATCATGGGCAAATATCCAGTTAGACAAACACAACTGTCTTTCTACTGTTGGGTTTCTTTACCTCGGCCCAACAATGTTGAACAAGTTAATGTTGTTTACATGTTAGCTGGATTGTTTCTGCTATTCTATCACATTTATTTCACTCAGGGACTTCCTATTTTATTCTTACAAAATATCTGAGGGGTTGGTTACGCTGATAAACAATGACTTATCCAATTCCACCTAATGGATCTCTAGTGCATGTTAAGTGGTATGGCTCAGGAGTAAAAAACCTGCAGCCTTCAAACTCTTTGGTGCAGCCTTCAGATACCCTCTAAAAATTTAACCAAATGTTGCATCTGATGAAGTAATTTGCTGCTCATAAAAGCCTATGCCCCAATAAAATTGGTTAATCCTGAAGGTGTTACAGGTGAATATGGCACTTCTTCCAAACATTGCATTAATCTGTAGTGTGTAATGAGTTAGAATTTTAATTTACTTGTAATTAAATGCGTAACATGCCAATCAAAGGCCCAGTGTAGCCATCCATCTGTAAAAGGTTGTGCATGTGTCCTCTACCTATTACACAATACTGGTTCTCTAATTAAGCCCCTTCAAGCTTCATAAAAACACAACTTATTTTTCCATTTCTCCAACTGGAATAAGTTATGTACAAAGTGCCCAGCATTGGCTGAGAGTTTGCCCTTTTTTTATAAAGAAAATATTCCTTGCTAATTTCCTTCAAGGTTTTTTTTTTTTTTTTTTTAAAAGAAGCTATCAACATTGCTTTAAATTGTTTAATGCTCAAGTGAGGAATGCTTTCTTTACTGTATGTATAGTAGCATGGAAACAATGAATCTGAATTAACTATTCAGCAGAAAGAAATCAGATATTCCATAAGTTCAGATGCCTGCCTATGTAGATATAATAGAAAAAGGACTCTCATCCAACCAAAGAGGAAATGATTTGAAATTCCCAAAATGTGGCCCTTCCGATTAACACAATCCCTGGAAATGGGCAAGTCTCTCCTAGAAATCACAACGCTCTGATATGCTAATTAATGATATCTTCAGTCTACCACCCTTGGTCCCTGCAGATCAAACTTCTCAAGGCACTATAAATCAAAGGGGAACTTCTTTATTTCCTTTGATCAGTGTTATAACTATACTTTTATTTATTTTAGATGAAAAAGAGATCAAGATCAGGTCTGCTGTGGAATCCAAAGGAGCATTATGACAAAGTTTACAGTATATTTTTCAATCAAAGGATGATCCTTGCCTCACAACTGAAATGTCATACATGTAAATTAGCAGACCGATCATCAGTGAGACGTTCGTCTTGCCAGTTTTCCCTCTGTTTATCTGGATGGGTCTTCCTTTCTCATCCACTCAGACGTCAGACAGTGGCATGAAACTGCTGCACAAATAAGAAGGGAAAGGCATTGTGTAGAAGTACCCAAATAAAAATAATATCCCAGATTCAATGGCTGTAAAATCCTCTTTCTCCAGGGGAGAACCCTGCTTTGAAGTTCTAAAGGCCATGTTTTCTAACTTACACAAAAACGCGAATTGGCCATAAAGAAGAAAAAATCCATGTTAGAAGGATGAATGTGAGTTAACAATTGGTCTCAAGTTTATATTAATAATTACTCTGCTCTTTGTATTGTAATAATTATTTTGGTTATCTACGATTAATACCCCAGATTTTTAAATTTTATAGGATGATTTATGTTTATACTCTCAAATTATTTTATTAGAAGTTGAACATTTACTTCCCCTTTTAGATTTCGATACAGTTTTTTTCAAGAATAATAGCTGTGATAATGTGCACTGTTGTGAATAAACAATAAAATAAGTGATACATCACTGTTGTATACTTGATCTTTTTGTACTTTTTTATGTTGGTCACTGACTGAAATTAATAAAATCTAATCTAATTTAATCCATGTGATCGACAAAATTTTAGTCAGCTTGAGAGCAAGCTTTTGGGTTCTGTAGGTTTGTGCATCAAGAAAGATAGGAAGCTTAAACATCATGTACACTGTGTAAAAATCAGCCAGGCTTTTAACGTGGGAGAGTGAGACTGCTCACCTCATTATACTTCACAACTTTAATCTCTAATTTTTATTGATTTTATTGTAATTTGTTTGACCATTGTGAGCTGTCCTGAGTCATTGAGTCGGGCGGCATACAAGTTGTTGTTGCTGCTGCTGTTGTTATTATTTCTTTGTATGAAGAATTTTGATGTGCTAGTTTATTGTATGCAGGAAATCTGCAGGCTACCTTTTCCCTCCACTTAATCCAACGACTGGCTCAAGAGTCTTTCAGAGGCCAGCAAGTTCACTGAACTCATCAGGGCATCTATTAACATTTTCATCAGATCTTTGTGGCTGGCAGATCTATTGTGCCTGAATGGTGGGAACACTGTAGGGACTGCTCAGGGATGAAGTATATTGAGGGATAACGTGCTTCAGTGCAATAAAGTGCGCACGCTCTCTCTCTCTGTCTATGACACTTAGAGCTCCGAAATGTCATCCTCTGGTAACAACAGCTCCAGGCAAGCTGTATCCCTTACATAACAAGCCATAGCTGAGAAAGGTGCCATCAACTTTAAGAACATACATTCTCATTTAAAAGCAACTCCCCAGCTTCCATCTGTTCTTGGATTCAAAAATATGTTTTTCCCTGCTCAGTACAAGAAAACTTTTAATCTACTTTCACTTTAACAGATATGTGAAAAAAGAAACTACCTCATTTCCAGAAAGACCAGTCAAAACTTGCCTCCGTAATCATGGCATCTGGAACTTTTTGTTTTTAATCAATTCAGATTTGTCACACCAGCTTAACAAGCTTGGTGGTAACCTAGTGGTGGTTCCAGCAACCTGAGTTCAAGGAAAGGTTTCTCTGTCTTCTGATATGGGAAACTAAGTCTATCTTGACAATTTCTGTAGTAGGAACATTTGCAATTGGAAGGATGCAATTTTGACAAGAAAATGACCAGACTATAAATGATGACAAAAATCTCCAAACAAAAGCTATCCACAAAAATAAATAAACAAACGAACAAACAAACAAATAAATAAAATGTACATATTTTAATTTAGTACTCAGATGGTAGAACCAAATAAATAAGTAAATAAAATAACCAAAAATGGATAAACTGCATACCAGAAAGTTATTATGCTATCGTTGTTAATATAGTGCCTCCTCTGACAGCTGTCATCAGATACTGGGTTACAAAAAAGTACAAATTTCTCCCTGGTCATTTCTTAGTCATTAAAGAGTCACATTTAAATCTTTAGATTGACCATTAAAGGGAGAAAACACTATATAAATCCATTATCTACCATTGCAAATAAATAGTAGCCATAGGTTAATGTTAGGGAGATTGGATGGGGGCTGGAGACAGAGATTAAGCCAGACATTGTTTACAATTACTATGAAACCTTTTTTTTATCCTCTTCCATTCTTACCTGCTGCCTACCAATTATTAATAGAAGCTGTACACAATGTGCTGGAGTTGAGCCTGGCTTAACTAATTAACAACTGCATGCTGCTAGAAAAAAAGAAAGGTGAAAGCTGGATGTAAGATTTCCTTTTTAAAACATGCTATGATATAAAAAGTGTTAACCTCTTAAATTAAATTAAGAGCTTCAGTATAATCTCTTCATTATAGTCAAAAAATAAGTCATATATAAAATAAAACATAGTTATATTTGCAGTTTGCATCTTGAAGGAGCCTGATAAACTCCCCATTTTTCTCATAAGCACCAAAAGTACATGCATGCCCACGTGTGTGTAGCAGATCAGAGAAAATGGGTGACATGGGTTCCAGGACAGTAAAAAAAGGAAAGAATAACTTAATATTTTTCAAGCAGAGAGATGTGCACTTTGATTACTGTTCACACAAAAAGGCTTTAATCTTTGGTTTCTTTAGGACTGGCATGGGGAATTTGGTCAACAGTGCCCATGCATGCACAGAACCATGCAAGACAGATTTTAAAAATGGTCCAAGTCCAAGGATTTAGAAAGAAAACATTAACGTCACAACAACAAACAACAAAATGCATACATGAATTGTAAGATTTAGAACAGAGAAGTAGAACTGGACTTAAAACTATAGAGGCAGAGAAGAGGCATCATTTTTTTTCTTTCCACCCACCCCCAGTAACAATTCCCAAGATATCAGCCAAGCCTTTCTAAGCCTCCAGAAGGCAGCAAAGTCCTGCCACTAGAGATTTGTTTCTTTTTGCCTATAACGGATGTAGACAGCATTACCAATTTCATAGTTTACCTTGACCGCCAACCCAAGAAGGATTGCTCATATTCTTGATAGGTTTGTGGATAGAAAACTCTCTTTACTGAAAAGATGCCTGCCATGGGTTTTGAAACAATATTTTTAAACAAAACACATGAAATTAAACAAATCCTCTCGGGGGATGTCAAAAAAGGAGTGTTTGGTCTATCCCAGCCAAATCCCATTGCATGAGTTTTCATTTTTGGACTACGTTGCTGTACTTCAAGCATTCATTGACAAAATTCAATGCGCAGCCTATCTATACATCCATTTGCTTCTGTTTCAATGCCACTATATCCTGGGAGTGAGAGCAACACACACACACACACACACACACACACACATCTCAAGATGAATCATTGTCCCTGGAGGTGTCTTTGTAAATTTACACAGAAAACAGTGCAAAGAAAGAAGGCATTCCCAGAAATGAACCACGACATTTCTGAAATCATGCTGGAGGTAATGGATCTTCACAGCTATGTTATGGTATGTCAACCTAAGCCCATATATGGGTTTCTAGGAAGAAGAGGAAAAACATTAGATAAAGTATCCAAGGACAAAAGCTGGGAACAATCCATTGAAAAACTCAGTGCAGACTCTCTCCAAAAGAAACAGAAAAGGATCCCATGGACAGTGTAAATTCACTGTTTATATTTCCAGGGAGATGTGCCAACGACATTGAAAAATAAAATTTTATTCTCATCTTATAACTTTATGTAGAACTCACATGCACATTTTTGGTCACTGCATAGAAATCCACTGCACTTTCAACAAATTTTCACCAAGAACTACTTGTTGTAATAAATGTAAACTTCAGTTTACTTGAGATATTTGCATCCGGGGCAGGGGTTCCTTTTTCTAATACATGCTAACATAGTGTTTCATATCCCCTTGTCTTCAATGCAGTGAAAAGCACCGTTATTGGGCTGAATGTCATAGATGAAATATTGAGAACCTCTTGAGGGTACTCTCACAAAATGGCTGCCACAATAGGTATGATCTGTCACAAAATACCCAGCTACAAAAGGGTGAGGTTTTTTTCTTTTATCCTTCCCACATGATGCTACTACCGGTTTACTTTTGCCTTTTTTTTTTTCTAGGCAGAATATGGTCATCCATCATTCTCTAAGAATGCCTACCAGCCCCTGTGGAAGCCAGAGACATTTTTATATGAAAGATGAAGTTAGAAGCTGATGCTCTACAGCATGCCAATCTCCCATTCTCTGAATTAAAATCTAAAACAGCCAAGAGTGCAGAGATCCTGCAGGTGCACAGAAGGTATCTGTGGGTACCATACTGCCTTCTTTTGGCCAGCTGTTTCTGTGGCGATTAAAATAAGCCATTCTTAGCAAGGTATGAGATTGGTCATCATAGGAGTCATTGTGATATACCATTGTGCACAACTGTTGCCCTTTCATTACTCTTACAATGAAAACCTTGCTTCACCAGATTCCATTCCAAAGACAGTTTGCAATAATGCAATATTTAGATACGTATATGTAAACTAAGTACAGATTTTAAAAAGCATAAAAAGAAGGGAGGTGTCTCAAACCTGTATATATGATCTAGTCCATTAAACAATATACTTAGCTCTTTGTTTGTCTGTGTAAGACCCCACTTTGGAATGAAAGAAGTACCCCAAAAATATCATCATGCAGACAGATACAATCACAGCTGATGACCGGATATGCCCACAGAGAATGAAGATGGCCACAGGCTCCTTTCATCAAGACTGCCTGTCAGTATTTTACGTTGGCTGTGTAATTCATTACAGAGTAATACATAGGAGCCAACTGTCTGGGGAATTCTGGGAGTTGAAGTCCACATATCTTAAAGTTGATGTTTACAGTTAACATTGATGTTTCTCACTATGTTTCAAACACTATGTACAAAGAGAAAAGAGTACAAAGAAAAATGGGAAATAGCACTAAAAACCTCCTTGCCCTTTCAATCGGCTTTCACATTAGCAGTACAGGCAGCAACAACACTGATGCAGTAATATATTCTTGTGAGACTTTGTCACAGAAGTAATAAACCTCTAGCTCACACATCCGAAGGAAAAATATTAATCAAACACAACTTACTGATAGTTAAAATGGCAAAAGATTTCAGCAACCAGAACT